CACTACCTTTAAAGAAATATTATTTTGTGTTAATATACACCTTTAAAAATTATTATGTTTTTACCATTGGAAACTAGACTCAAATATGAATTTATCCATATAAGGCACTCGTTATAGTTAAATTTGTACAATTTATGGTAAATTTTCAAAGTTGACCGAAAAAATATGTTTTGAGCACAATCTGTTGCCCTGTTTTCTGGCATGTCCTTGGTTAAAAATTAATATCTTTTTGTATACACCTAGGAATTAGTTTCCATTTGCTCTAAACAAAACTAGACGGGTATAATAATCCAACTGTTTAAAAATTATCCTCTAATCATTTTTTATAATTTATAGTGATTTTATAAACTTACTGTCCATAACATAAATTCTAAGCAGATTTCACCAATTTGCATTTTCAACTTGTTCACTAATTCTATTAGCTCACCAAATGCACATATATGCATGAATCACAAATCATATTACATTTTAGGAGTCACTCCTTACCATAGTAACTTCGTCACTAGCTCATCGCAAGCCAATGCTTGTTTGAAAACAAAAGTACAAATTAAATTTGCGCTCACCTGGTCTCCTTATCTTGCAACCTTCCTTAGAATTTCCCATTCCATCCTTAAGCTTCTCCTTAGCTGTAATAATGTTTGATCTAAATTTCAAGCACTCAATCTCTATGAACATCATTACCAAACATATACAAATTAAAACCAAATGTTAGAATCTTACTAATATAGGCATACTTTGGAAAATAAATTCCTAACAAATTTTCCGATGCTTATTCGATACAATTTTCGTGTCACAACATAAATGTTGACCTTAATACTTCGAATTGACCACTCAAGTTCCTTTTTATCCCAACTTTACATAACATTTTCACTTAAGATCCAAACCTTTCCATATTTTTTATTTAAACCTCAATTTTTACAAGCTTTCCAAAATAATCTAATTTCGCATCCTAACTTCAATTTCAACACTCAAGCATTAATTTCTAGCATAGTACATCAACTATTGAACACTTACACAACAATTCATAACTTTTCCAAAATTGGCAATTTGGTCCCCCCCGACTTTTCAAAAGTTACAAAATGCTCCCCAAAATTTTTATGCGGCTTGTAAAATACTTGCTACATCATTTCAAGTCCCTACTCTCAAGATAATTTGAAGATTGGCCTAAAGCTAGGTGACACCAGATGCTATTGTTAATTGTCATTTGATGTTAGCTTAATCTAGGTAATTTATTGATAAATGGTATAATTTTGAGAACAAGTCCTAGATGTAAGGACTAGATTACGAACAATAACACTAATGTATGAATTATTAATGAGTATTGATAAGAATACTACACCTACTGATGGCCATATATGTTTAGATTCATTCCTCTATATTTATATTGCATAGCATGCTCATGTTTATGAACTGCATAAAATATGCCATTGAGCTTATAAAGCTCAACGTTAGAATGTTTTTGATTGTGAGTTAGTAGATTATGCTTGATGTCGAGAAACACCATCATTGAAGAGATTCTTGCATCTCCCTACCAAAGTATAATATATGATTACTTTAAAGGGAATATATATTGATAGGATCCTTATTTATATTTGTTCTATAATTCTACTATTATTTTGATTTATATTTTGATATATCCTATATTTTACATAGCTTTAATTTTTTTATAAACATTTTTTACAATTGTTATGAATTTGATGATTTTTATATTAAATTTGAATATATGAATGATTAATAAAATCGAGAAAAGGTTTAAATTGGATGGTCATTTCAGTGGTCCAATATAACATTTTGAGTCCATTTATATATAACGAATCAATATTAGAGTGTTACATTAGTCATGTCACAGTTTTGATTTGTTAGAAAATACTTCAAAGCTCTTCAAATCATTTGAGACATAAAGAAGACGATGAAGAGAAAAATTTGTGAAAGAAAAAAAAGGAAATAATGTAAAATATTTTTAGTCTTTTTCCCAATTTGACCCTCAAAATACAGCTTATTCCTAACTTGACCCTTCATGTATCACTAATTACTTGGTTGAAAGCGCCCCAAAATTGTTTTTCAACGACGCCAGACAAAAAGGTCAAAATTGTTGATGAAGTAGAACTTTAAGATTCATATTTGATTAAAAAAAACTCAAGGTTCAAAATGTAAGTTATGTCATATCTTAAGGGCCAAATTATCCATTAAACTATTTCATAATTGTTTTATTTGTAAGTATCAAAATTTATATATAAACTAATTCAATAAAAAATACAAAAGCATTGATTTTTGGCAGGAGAGGTGTAAAACTAATTTCAGTTGGATTCTTAGGACGCTACTGAAGTTGAGTGTTGAAGTAGGAGCCTTGTTTAGTTTTGGTTCTAGTCCGAAGTGGACTAAGATTAAATGTAAATGGATCTGTGATAGTACTAGAATTCTGAAGGAAAAAATTAAGTGGCATAGGCTTATCTGGTTGCCTTCCCATGTTCCGAAGCATTCTATTATAGTTTGGATGGCCATTTTGTGTAGGCTGCCTACAAAGAATAGATTGGCTCGATTTAGAATGTTCCGGATAGTTCATGTGGTTTATGTGATGTTGCTTTGGAGTCAAGATGTCATTTATTTGCTGAATGTGCTTATTCTAGGGAGGTTTGGAGTGGTATTTTGTATTTGTGTAGGTTGCGTTGCGGAGGATAGAGTTGGGATGATCGGCTCTTGTGGGCTGCAGAGACCTTGAAAGGTGATTTTTTATTAGTTCTAATTTTAAAGCTGGCTTGGGTGGGGTTCATTTATTTCATTTAGGAGGAGTGCAATTTCCCATTGTATAAAAGGAATAGGCGTTCGTCTACAGTTATGGTTGATTGTGTTAGGGAGATGGTTAAGATTAAGCTGAGTAGGTGCTCTATTGAACGAAGTGATAGAGTTAACCTGATTTTGTGTACAAATTGGGGGTTGTGTTAGTGATTGTCTGTTGTTTTATTGCAGGTTAGAATAGTGTTTTCTGTTGTTTTGTTTTTGATAGATTTTGGTAAACATGTTTGTGATGTATCAGCTCTTTGGATAATCTATTAATAAAATCGACTTATCCAAAAAACTAATTCAATAAAAAATAATTATTACATATAATAGTTTTATACAATGCACATTGAAAAGTTTTGTCACTTCGTTTCTTATTTAATAGCGTAATGATATATATATATATATATATATATATATATATATATATATATATATAGATATATAGATTAAATAGAACTTAAAGTATTAGAATTGATTTTTTAAATACGAAGAAAATATCGAAAGATTTGTTATGATTTAAATGTAATTTATTGTTTATCATTTTATAAAATTCACACCTATTTATTATTCACAGCGAATTTCTAAAAGCGAAACTTATCAAAAAATAAAAAAAGGCCTACTATTTTTTCTTATAAAGTCTTATACTTTTACGCCGTTGTCGATGGTCTTTGTGTCAAATGTCGATACCTCCTTATCATATTTTTTCTTATTCCATCACATTCTCACCCTTATTTTTCTCCTTTCTCTGTTTCATTTATTCTCACATCTTTTTTTTATGTTTGAAAATTTTTCCACCACCTTTGACGACCTTTACGTCGATCACTGTATTTTTATGTTTAGTTTTTTCTCTCTTCTCCTTTGATTTTATTTGTATTTTCTTTTTTTAAGGTTCCTTCATGTTATCCCTCTACCTCTACCATTCCAATGGATATTGGTGAATTTTTACTGTAATTTCATGTCATGCTCTTCAATGGATGATACACCACAGCTCACCACCTCTCCTCTTTAGTCGTTTATCTTTTGTTCATTTAGTATTTTGGTTTTTTTTTATTTTGGTTATCTTATTGTGAATTTTTTTTTTTTTGTAGATATCTATTAATCTTCTCCTTAGAGCGTCGACTTCTTACTCATATTTGATTTTCACGTTCAACATGTTTTATTTATTCTGACATCACTTATGTTTGAATTTTCCAATGTCACGATCTTTCATGAAGGATATGGTAAAATCTTCCGATCTTCTTATGCTTTTACAAAGTAGAATCTTTTTAAAAAAAAAATCAATTGACAATGTACATATATCCTACAAATGCTATTACTAGAACTCAAAATCTCTTTAAAACAATATTTCATTTTACTACTTAGACCACTTTGATAGATTCACTAAAATCATCTTATGTGTGCTATTATTGTTAAAACCACCTCGTTTCTACTTGTCTAGGATCATATTATTTTTTTCTCGATTCATATTTTAATAAAAAAATATTATTAGCTAATACCATCTCGTTTCTATTTGTCTAGGATCGTGATAAAAAATATGATTTAATACAAAATTAAGTGTCCAAACTATACTACTTTTTCTAAATAGGTGTTTAAACTATTTTTTGACTTATCCAGGTGCCTAACGTTACAAATGTTACCCATTTAGGTACTCGAACCGTCAACAACGTTAATTTCTTCGTTAAGGACACGTGTCTCAATATGATAATTTTAATATTTATTTTTAAAAAAATATATTAAAATTATTATGATATTTATAAAAAAACACTAACTTTTCTTATATTATAAAACAATCCTAAAATCTCAAATCCTAACCTTATTCTGTTGTCGCCGCCTTTTCTAGCCATGACCACCGCCATCGACGTAGTCCCTGCCATCCTCCTACTCTTACGTCGTCGTAGTTTCCGTTGATTGGTCGTCGAATCGCATGGGATCGCGATTTTCATCCTAGGGTTCATGGAGTATAAAACGTTGATTTGTCGTCGATCTACCGTCGATCAAATACGATTTCATGGGGGTTTTGACCGTCGGAAGGAGATGAGGTCGGGTGGAACTTCGTTGATACTAAAAGGCAGCACCATCATACGCCAGCATGCGTTTAAGGATTGGAAGGAAGGTTTTCAAACCTTTGGGTTTATTTCAAAATTTGTTTGGTATTATGCCAATATATATATATATATATCACTCTCATTAAATAGGAATATTATTAGCGGAAACCAAATCTAAAATTAAAAGTCAATATTGTAACCCGAGATAATAAACACAACATAAACAGAAAATAATAACTCAAATTACTACCTCTAGGTTTGGCAAGTAATCTCCATTAATATCCAGGCAGTGGCCATGAGGCCTGTGTCTAACCTGGCTGAAGCGTAAGTTGATCCTACTTTGAAGAAGGAAAACAATGGAGAATCCCTTAACGCATTTTCCTCAACCCTCCCTCGTCGATCAACCTCAAGCACCGGTGGGTCCTCCTGCTTCTTCTCTGGTGGTGTCTTCAGCTTTCCCCTTTGATCATCCATCTACTTCTAGTAAGTATTACAATTCATTTTTCTTTTTGGCTGTAGAAAAGTCGATTTTTGGTTCATACGTACGAAAAGAATTTTGGGTTCTCGTTAGATGTAATTGATTTCTCTTGTATGCGTTTGAAAGAAATTTTTGGTTGAATTTGATTTATGGTATTTTAGTGTTGTTTTTTGTTTGCTATCCGCTATTGAAATTTCTAGGGTTATCTCAAAAAAAAATCTAGGGTTTTAGACTTTGATGCTCTGAATGTACACGGAGATAGAGAATACAAAATAATATAAAAATGGGAAAGTATTTTGAAATGTGGTTTTTACATTTTTCTTTTCGTTAAATGGAATTTCCCCCTTTTTTTGGTGAATTTCTTTGACATGCAGGTTTGATCAGTTCTAGCCATAAAAAATCTTGGAATATTTAAATTCTTTAAACTTACAGTAAAACTTAAGGAGATACTCTTTCAAACTTGTTGATGATCTGAACCTATTTTAGAGAATATAAAATGGATTTTTTTGGCTATTCTTTAAGATCGACTCTTGTTTCAGGTCTTTAAGCAATTGGTACCTTGTGAAATGTGCTTTGTGCATTTTCATTAAAAATTGAAAACATAGACTTTCTATCATTTTAAGGGGAGCGGTATTCTTTTCTTTTTTTCTGTTCACATGGAGGATCAAGGGATTGATTGGAAGAGGGAAGGGGCAATGCTCCCAAAATGGACTTTTGTTTCGGAAGGTTTTCATAAGGAAATATGCCTTTTCGTTTGAAATATTTAATAACCTGATTGGTAACAATGAATTTTATTTTCTTCTGTTACTTTATGTGCCTCTTTATTATTTCTGGTGCAGTTTCTGAATCTGTGAAATTTCATTCATGCATGGTTACTTGATGACATGGAGGAGCCTACTCCTATTTTGCCTATCACACTTGCTACCACAGTGCTAGCAGCAGGAATTTTTCTTGTAGCCTCTTTTCAAAGTTATACCTTACATAATTATCTAATATCTTTGAAATGTATAATGACAGTATTATTAGGGTCTATTGAAGTGCTAAAGTATGGGAAAGAGTGGATGCCTGGATGTTGCCTTCAAAAAGTATCTTGCTACCAGCAAGCCAAGGGAAAGGGAGGAAAACAGTTGATAAACCTCCTTTATTTGGATGCTGTTATGGAAGGCTAGGAAGGGAAACTTGTAAAAATGGGTAGCATTATTTGATCTAGGATGTAAAAGACCTAGGATATAAAGTTAAATTGAAGTGGCAAACAATAACATTAATTCTTACATGTATAATGGGAATTATGAAGTTAGAATTAGAGTGGAAGTCATAGGTTGCAGTAGCACAAGTAGGTTTAGAAAGATTAAAGAGTTGGCATTTTAGAATTGAAATCGCTATAACAGAACTAGTGCTTTCTTGCTGCACCTTGCACCTTAGGATATATAGAGATCTTAGCGCTTAAAGTGTGCCTAGTGCTGTGCCACTGTTGACAGAACTAGTGTATGGACAATTTTTCTCTAATATTTTTTGGTTGAGTTCATGTTGTACGGTTTATTTTATCTTTTGGCTCGCTTGTAAGCCATATTTTCTGCCCTTTGCCTTCTTTTTAACTTGTATGAAAGTCAGAATCCCTAACTAATTCATGCTTGGTTTTGTTTAGAACCTCCAGGACCCTTTATGTATAAAAATCGGTTACAAGAATTTACACAACGATCATCCTTGCAGCTTCCAGTGTATCGAACTTTTAATGATGGACCTATGCATGCACCAAAGTTTCGGTCAACCGTGTTAGTTGATGGTCTAACATATACTTCTGAGAGCACCTTCTCAAATATAAAAGCTGCTGAACAGGATGTTGCCAAGCATGCCCTGGAGTGTATTTCAAAAAAATTAAAAGATGAAGGCTGTTCTCTCGCTCATGTGGTTTATTGCTTACATCTTCCTTTATTTATATGGTTCTTGGTTACTCATAGTTGTTTGTCTTGAAACTTACTCGTTAAATTGGTACACATTTGGTATCCTTGTGCCATATCTTGGTCCATTGTTAAAAAGAGGACAAAGTTTTATAAGGTGTGTGACTTTGATATCATGTGGTCTACTAGCTCAACTGTTAATTATAAACGATTAATAAGTAAATTTGGAAATCCTTTTGATATTGAAATATCATTAGAAATGACCTCATAAGGTTTTAAATACTTTTAGAATCCATTGTTTCTTGATTTTCGAATATATTTATCTCCATTATCTTGGTTTTCACCTTTAAAGTGTAAATGAAAATAGGAAAAGGAAAATGTTTTATGAAACTAAGGATCCTTAAATAGGCACATCATACTTGCATATTTAATGTTTGCTTTGGGGTTTGATAAACTGTTTTTGTTTGGTACATTAGGATATCATGTTTTGCAAGTCTATCTTAAATGAATCTGTGGTCAAGACGAAACTACAACTTCCGACTTACTCTACCATTCAGTCAGAAGGATTGCCTCCTATTTTTGTGTCTACTTTGTTTTTCAATGGCATGATGTACAAAGGGGAAACTGGCAGAACTAAGAAAGAGGCTGAACAATTAGTTGCACGTGCCGTCATCCAATCACTTCTAGGTATTTTTCTTCTCCTTTCTGGAAGAAAACTACACATATATGGTTCCATAATTTTAATCAACTTACTTGGATGAGTTCTATTCTTTTCGTTTGACCAATAATGCAGATGATGATAGGTATGTGATAGTTGTTTCAGAGATCATCAGATCCAAAGCTAAACTTCAGAATGCCTTGAATAAAGTCAAGGATTCAAACATTGCCAATTTCAACACTACACCTGTTGTGGCAAACATTGAGAGTCACAACATTGAAGAGGTTGAAACAACTGTAATCCCTAACTGTGTGCTAACTAGTGAATCTGTACAGCCAAGCTCGGGTTCAAAACATCCTCGCCATGAATTCAAGAATCCAACTGTAGGACAAGGTAGTGATTGCATTCATCTTCCAATTGCTTTTGTACCTGCTTTCTTAGGACAGACTGCAGATGGTGAACACTCAAGAAAATCAAAGAAGAAGAAGCGGGCTAAACTAAATGCTGATTCTCAGTAAGATTGAGTTTCTCATTCTCAATGTTGAGTGTGACCTTGTGTTGTTATTCCGAAATAGTTTTATGAATATCCGTCGATGAGCTTTGGCGTCTATGTTTACTTGGCATTCATGTAATGATTTGCAGGTTGGCTGTTGCTGGTGTCCCATTTGCTCAAACCACACCACCGTGTTCACTTGCTCCTTGAACCTGCGCGATCGCTACCTTGCTTTATAGCTAGTGCTTTGTTAGATTTAGAAAAAACCATAGTTATGGTTCTCAGATGATTAGACTTACTGTTGTTCTGCAGTAAAACTAACTGATAAATGTTTCTTTCATGCTATTGCCTAAATTTCAATATTAGGAGCAGCTGCTAAGAAACTTTTGTTGAAGTCGGGCAATAGTGGCTGACGTGGAAGAAACTCAGTTGTTTCTGAAAATAACTTGGGTTGTCTATATTTGGCTAAAATGTGGAAATTGAGTTGCTTGTGCTTAATAATAATTTCTTTGAAAGTTTATAAGTACCATATAAATTTCTTTGAAAGTTATAGTGCATGCACTAAACTCACATAGCTTCCTTTCATCTGATTTTTTTTATTATCAAAAGATCATATAATCTTTAAAGTTCCATTAAAAAAATCTGAGTATCAGATTGAATAAATATTAAATGCATTTTTGATAATATAAAATGATGTAGAACATGTTGATTTGCATATAATTAATCACTGACATGCTTGTCGGGCTGAATCCAATTTCAAATTATTTCTTTTAAAATTACGACAAGGATATCCAACCTTTCTTTTCTATATTTTTTTAAACAAATGTTTCAACTATGCTTCTTTTACATATATTTTATTAAACTAATTTTTTCAATGCATTGAAACTCATAACATTAGTTGTTAATTACTATATTTAATAAAAAAATATTATATAGTCCTAGAAACATATCTTGATTAATTTTATTGTTTACAAATTCAATGATTACCTTGGTGCTTACAAATTTATCTACCAACTAAGAAATATGCAAAAGAAATCAGTATATGTACAGGGACGAACCCACATTATAGATGAGCGGGGCAGCTTCCCTCCTAACTTTGAAGGTCTAATTACATTTTAGGCCACTAGAAATATTAAAACTATTCCAATTTAGTCATTTCCCTCCCAAAATTTTTTTTGGTATAATTATTTTCGGGATACTGTAAGTTTTAAAATTAATGAAATCAAGTCTTAACCTAATTTTATCTGATTTAATTGTTTTTAAGACCAATGATTTTTAAGATTAATAGAATCAAATCCTTAATCTCTATTTTTTATGATTTAATTATTTTTTAAGACCCTATTAATTTTAAAATTAAACAACTTACTTTCTCATAGTTTACTCTTGACTTTGTCCCTGTATATGTAGTTACAGAAAATACAACACGAAGTAAAACTAAACTTATGTACAGTAATGGTGAGAACATAGAACCTAATATTAATTAAAATGTCTTCATCTTTTCATTAAAATTTATACATAATGCTAAAATTAGCTCTCAATATTTTTCAAAATAGTCATTTTGGTTCCTATTTTTTGGGAGCATTTTGACCCAACATCTCACTTTAGAATAAAAAAACTCATAACATTCGACTAAAAGTCACTTTGGCCCTTATTCTTTTATTATAGAGCATTTTGCCCCCAACATTTTATTTTAGGGTAAAAACCCAAATTTTGGAGAATTTACTATTTGTTAACTAATGATTTCCATCCATGGAGGGACCTTTTTGCTCCAAAATGAAATGTTGTGGGGCCGAAATATTTAAAGAAAAAGAATAGGAGTCTAAATAAATATTTTGATAAACATTGAAGGGCTAGTTTTGATATTATGCCTAAAATTTAATGTTCCAGTGGCTTGTGTATGCTAATCTACTTATTTTCCTTTAAATGAGAAATCATGAAAAGTACTTTTAACTTCATTTGTTTCAATATTTGCAAAATAGATTGCAATCTAACATGAGAGAAAAGATTATAGATGTCTAAGAAAAGAGATGTTGGATTGATTTTTATATTGAATAGGAAGAAAATGGTAAAGAAATGGTGTTAACCTTCTCCCACCAACTTAGCATTAATTTTAGTCTCAAATTTTCTAGTGATTTTTGCCCGGACAAGTTTTGATCTTGATTCCTTGTGCACAGTTTATGTTTGCATTACATTGCCCCATACCCTTTCTCTCTCTCTCTCCCTTCTTTTTCCGAGAAAATTCTCCCCCACTCTTCAAGCAAAGCAGCTCACTTTTTTTTATTATTCTCAAAGACTCGTCCTTTATTTTTAACTCTCTTTCTTGTTTTTGGAGTCTATGGGGGCATGTGTTCTTTTCTTCCATTGAGATCTGTTTCAAAGCAATGGGCTTTTACGAAGAAACTTGCACAAACTCCAGGAGTACAAAAAATGGCTTGATTGCTCTCCATGCAGCTCATCATAGTGCTTGCAATGAGGTAAAATTCAAGTCTCTTTTAACAAAAATGATTTGGGATTTTGGTCTCGGGTGTTTTATTCCGGGTTATCAGAGTAAAGGTTCAGAAAAGCAGCAGAAAAACAAAGGTGAAATTAAAGGAAGCAATTTGGAGCATAACAAGGCTTGGTTGTTGGCTGAGTCGAGTGGAGGAGATGAGTTGACTAGTACTGATCCACAATCAGTTCACTCATCTTTCTGGTTTAGTTTTTGTTCTCAAGTTGAACTAGATGCCATGACTGCAAATTCTTTGAGTTCAGCCACTGTTTTGATGGCGAATTTGGATAATGGGGTTAGTGATGATAGAGCAAAAGAATCGAAATGGAGAAGGATTGAGTCTTTAGAAAGAAGTATTTCACCAGTGACTAAGTCTTTGGTTAGATTCGATTATGGTGAAATTGCTTCAGCTAGCAGAAATTTCTCCAAAGGTATGAACTTCATGGATTTGGTTTCTTTCTTTCTTGTGTTCAATTGTTTTCTTTCTGTGTGGGATTTTGATTGGATTGTGTTGGAAAATGGCGGTAGAGAGAGTTTTGGGGAGAGGAGCATTGAGCTTTGTTTTCAGAGGCAGAGTTGGAGTATTGAGGACAAGTGTGGCCATTAAGATGTTGGATAAAGAAGACAAGGAATCTACCAAGACCTTTTGCAGAGAACTGATGATTGCTAGCTCTTTGCAACACCCTAATATTGTCCCTCTTTTGGGGTTCTGCATTGATCCTGAGCAAGGCTTATTTTTTGGTGTATAAGTTTGTCTCTGGAGGAAGCTTAGAACTCCATCTTCATGGTAAAGTTTTCACTTTGTTCTCTGATTGGAGTTTTACGTGGATTTTGTAATGAATTTTGAATGATTTAGGGGTTAATGTTTTGTAGATAAGAAGAATGGTGTAACAGTACGTCTCTTTCATGGTCTGCTCGGTATAAGGTCGCCTTAGGAATCGCAGAGGCCATTGCCTATCTACACAATGGAACTGAAAGATGTGTTGTTCATAGAGACATCAAGCCCTCTGACATCCTTCTTTCTTCCAAGAGAACACCCAAGGTAAGGGATCTTGGTCTGTAATTCCTAACTAGAAAAAGGATCGAAGCCGGTCTATTGATTATATGATATCTGTTATTGTAATGGTTGCAGTTGTGTGATTTCGGATTATCAACTTGGACATCCGCTATCGATACCAGTTTCTTAGAGAAGCTAAAAGATCTTTTTTTTTCTTTTTTGTTTTATTTTGCCTCATGGTGTGTAGGTGTTATGACCCAAGCAGCTATGCCAACTCAACAATCCTTTCAATGATTGACAGGTCAACATTTCAAGGCTTTGTTGGTTACGGTAACTGGCTATAAAATGTAGTGGAGTCAATGAAGGAAGGGCATGAAATATTGTTATAATCTGTTACTCTCCCTGTCTAGTTTTCTCTCTATTCTTCCCTCCTATTTCCCATTCTATCTTCTCTATTTGCTGTAATTTCTTGTTCTTCAATGGAATACAACTTAATTACTTGAGTTCATATCATTGAGAAACTGAGTTCATAAAATTTGGTGCTTTCGTTGAGACATTGAGCTATGATGAATGAAACTAAGGCCATTAAAACTCTGCAGAAGACTGTCGCTCATCACGAACAACTATTGGGATCTCTCCAAGCTCATGCTGAGCAGCAGAAACAGGTGAACGATGAGATCCAACAAACACTTAAATATGTGGAACGTCAATTGGAAGTCATATCATTGCATTTGGGACTGCCAGGTAAAATTGTTACTAAGCAAGACAGTTCAAGCACAAAGATCCCCCAATTGTTCGACGATTTGTCAACACCAAAGGAAAATGATGTTGTAGACCAAACAAATCAAAGCAGTGATGGACTTAATTTTTCAAGTGATATCAGGAGAATCATAGGTTCATCTAAACCCGTCGAGTCAACAAAAAATGATGTTCAAGATCAGAATATTAAAATACAAGAGCAACCATCAAAGAAAATTGGGAATCTGCATGTAATTGGCATTCTGAATCCTGTCAATGGCAGTAAGTGCGAAAACCTTCACTTTGAATTCAATTTCCATACTGCCAAATATATGGGATTATACTCTTTGATGTTGTGTACACTGCACGTTGCTGATTTCGGGGATAAATTACAGCTTTTAGGTGTTACGTATAAGGGGTTATTTGCTAGGAATTTGATATTTCTAACTATTCATGCTTGGAAAAAGCTTAAAAGGAATCATTTATTGCTGCTTACTCATGTGAAAGTGTTGATTAAGATTGATGATCCTTTTAAGTTTAGGCTTTTGTTAATGGGAAAGAGTGACTCAATTCATTAGAAGTTTCGAAGTTCATGATGTCGAGCATTACATAAATGTAACAAGCGATTTGTTGTTTGACAAGTTACAACCAAATCGAAAGTTATGGCTCGGCCTTCGTCGCAATCAAAATTTTTTCCAAAAAGAAACACGAGCGATTGTGAGAGCTGAAATGTTTGGTCAATTAACAAGTGGCCTAGAAGTTGCTTGGATCAAACTTAAAAGAGATCAGGTTTTGACAAATGAAAATATTATGGGACCAATGTGTGACATTAAAAGAGCACTTTTTGAAGCAGATGCGAGTCTTGTTATTAGACAGGTTGTCCAAGCTATAAGTGACCTGGTTGTGAGAGTTGTTTTATTTCAAGGGGTGAGCCTGAATCAACAATTATTTAAAATTGTACATGATGAGTTGATAAAAGTGATGGGAGGAGAGGTTATTGATTTTGTGTTCTCAAAATTTGGTGCACAAGCCAAGAAAAGTGGCCTTCAATCTCACACATTATCTGAGTATAAATGTGTTTTTCAGAGTTCTTAACAATATTAGCTTGGCTTTCGGGCATGCTGAAACAGAGAGACTATCTCGCATAACAACATTTGTCCCTGATACTGATGAATCAATTAGTAAGTTGGTGAAACAAAACGATAAGCTTGTGGACATTCATGAGGCACAAGATGGCAACCAGTTGCCATTGGCTGAACGAGAATTGATGTTAACAAAGATTTTTGTGAATGATTTGCTCGATAGGATATCCTTAACATGACCGGCATATTTAAAGCCAAGGTTGTTGATGTTCCTAATCACACAATTATTCTCGAGTTGATGGGAGGACTAGACAAGTTGGTTGCATTGCAGAGATTGTTGGAGCCGTATGGCATTTATAAGGTTGCTCAAACTGGTCGTCTAATGTTACGACGAATGAATGAAACTAACTTCGTAGCCGAATTCTATCGATTAATGCCTCCGAGATCAAAACCTCCAAAAATGCCACCAGAATTAATGCCTCTAGAGTTAGACTATATCATTGAAGATGCTGTGATAATGGACATTGCAAGATGGATCTTGATAAATAAAGAAATGGTGGATGAGATGCAAGAAGTGAAGAAAATGTCGAACCCCACAAAAGTTTTGTTGGTTGTGAATACAACGACTGGACAAGAAGTTGCATTAGTCAAAACATTCAATGTTGAGATCGGGATTGTAGGTGCCATTTTAACAAAGCTAGATAGAGGTTCTAGAGATGATGCAACTTTGAGTGATAAAGAGGTGTTCGGGAAGCCAATCAAACTTGCAGGATATGGAGAGCACATGGAGGACCTTAAATTTTTCTATTTAGATCAAATGGTTGGACGTCTCTCGAGGATGGGAGATGTTTTCTCATTGGTTGAGAAGGCACAAGAAGTTATATGCCAAGAAGATGCTGAAAATTGCAAAAGAAGATAAGGAGTACAAAGTTTGACTTCAATTATTTCCTAAAGCAGACTCATGCAATTACTCGGATGAGTTCTCTGACTCCATTTATTTAGTCATGTTTACACATTCATCAACAAGAAGTCACTCCACTATCTTGGTTGGAAAAATAATCGTGCTCAACATCTTCTTCGAACCTTGAGGACAAGGTTCTTCACCAAGAGAGGGGTATTGTTATGACCCAAGCAGCTATGCCAACTCAACAATCCTTTCAATGATTGACAGGTCAACATTTCAAGGCTTTGATGGTTACGGTAACTGGCTATAAAATGTAGTGGAGTCAATGAAGGAAGGGCATGAAATATTGTTATAATCTGTTACTCTCCCTGTCTAGTTTTCTCTCTATTCTTCCCTCCTATTTCTCATTCTATCTTCTCTATTTTCTGTAATTTCTTGTTCTTCAATGGAATACAACTTAATTACTTGAGTTCATATCATTGAGAAACTGAGTTCATAACAGTAGGTTTTTGGCGCCTGAGTATTTCCAACATGGGAAAGTATCTGATAAAACTGATGTTTATGCTTTTGGGGTTGTCTTGTTGGAGTTAATAACAGGAAAGAAACCAATCGAGGCAAGACGGCCTCCGGGAGAAGAGAACTTGGTCCTATGGGTAGGTTATTATTACCAATTTCAACCTTACACCAAGCATGTGAAAGATGAAAGAATGATTCCCGTAACAGCTTCCCTTGATAATGAAATTTCTACTCCCAGTTGTCCCCAGAGCCTAAATCACTACCTGCTCTTTATTCATATTCATTTACGTTTTCAGCTTTTTGTGATTCGATGATTTGATGCTCAGGAACGTAAACATGACACGCTTGTGAGCTCCTTCGTAGTTAGCTGATATGATTCGCTCATTGCAAGATGAACAATAGTTTGTGTTTTAGATGTAATGTTGAAGTTTCTTCAAATTTGCAGGCAAAACCTCTGATGCAGAGAGGAATGGCTTCTGTTGAAGAATTACTAGACCTAGGACTCGAGCTTACATTGAAAAATTCAAATCAAATAGCTCGAAGCATGCAAGCTGCAGCAGCCTGCACAAGGAACGAAGAGTTGCAAAGACCGAGCATCGATGAAATTATCTCGATATTGAGAGGTGAAGAAGAAGCGTTTTGTTCTATTAGGAAGAAGTCCAATTTGTCTGGAATTGTTGATTGTCACCCTCAGTTGCAACATTCAAAAAGTGAGATGAAGAGTTAATTAACCTTGGAAATGGTGGAAGTTTGAGAGTTTGAGGACGATGGTCACCTATGCTATGGGTGATTGTTTCTCTTGTAATATACCCTTTTCTTGTAGTAAATAGGAGAAAGGGTCTAATGATATCTGGTTGCATGTACATACCATGATGCCCTGCCCTCTCAACTCATGAAAACCTACCGATTTCCATTTGAATGCGTTCACAGTTGCAGTTAGGAATTTATAAATGAAAAATTAATCAAAATGATATTAATATAAAATAAGACATACCTAAGAGAAAATTTAAGTGGATCTGCCTTATCTATTTTCACGGATGAAAACGGATGAAAAAATAAGAAGCCACTATAAATGTAGAATGTAGAAATCACGAAGGTGTTATGTCTTGAGAGGGAGAAGGGGGAATACAGAATGAAGGAGGTAAGAGTTTAGATCTTTATTTCTTATAAATTGTGAAGATACATGTGCTGGGCATTTTTTTGGCCCAATAGGGCTTTTGGATTAATAATTTAAGGTTTTACCCATCCTCCAATTTTAATTAGGGATATATGGCACTTGC